TTGGACAGGTGACGGTCTCTTTCCTTGTGACTACCTGAGAGCACAGGTAGAGCACAGGTCAGTGAGAGCACAGGTCAATGTGCACTCACTCACTCACCCGCACTCGCACCACTCACCAATGCATGTCTTGGTCGCCTCGTTGAAGGCATAGCCAATGACGCCGCACAGGCACTCCGTGGAGCCATCATCGGCCGCAGAGCAGTACGCGTCTAACCCGCAGTCCACCGTGGCACACGCGTCTGCGTGGATGCGTGGCGGTTTCCAGGTGACACAGGGGAAAGGGAATTGGAAGAGGTAAGCTTCTTGCTTGATACTGTACACCCCTGCACTGCTCTCACGCCCACCTCCCCTCTGACACCATCCACCCTCCATCGCTCACCACACTCCTGATGAAACTCAAAGGAAGAGGGGCTGGCACGAGGGGGAGGGGGGGGAAATGGAGAGAACTATTTGTGGTGTTTAGGCAGCGTGCTCGTATGGGGAGTAGTTTAGTAGCGCGCATGTCGAGCCCTTGAATAAATGAGTTCCGAGCGTGAGGCTTGGTCGACTAGTTCCTCGTGGAAGCATGGGGTGCCAGTGGCTGTCAGCAGTCACCCATTGGAATCTGGGTGAAGCAGCTTCTTGCAACGACCACCCACGACCGCGAGCTGCAGGAGGGTAAGAAGCAAGGCGGTTGGGTGAGCAAGAATGAACACCCACTGGGAGTGGCGATAGGAGCACGGCGTTCACCTGCGCTGGCCTGGGTCGCGAGAAGGCTGATCGCAGCGAGCCCGGCGACGAGTGCGACGAGCCCAGCGGCAGACGGCCGCCCGCAGCGGTCCATCACGACGGAAGGCGGCGAAAGGCTTCAACCTCGAAATTCGAGTCGCGCGGAAAGTCAAACCTTCGCGACAAAATGCTGTAGGGCTGGCGACGATCGCTGGTGGAATGAGCGAGGTTCGGCCGGCGGGAGGAACGAGATGATGCGAGATGCACGAGAGGCAAGGTGGTGACGGGGAACGAGAAGAAGTGCGGCGATTGTGAGAGCTTCGGAAGGGGAGGCGATTTATGTGTTGAGAGAGAGCGAGCGAGCTCGGCACAGAGCGTGGCGGGGTGTCCGCAATAATGCATCGGGGATTCGCGGCGGAAGAGGCAGGGGCCGACGAGGTGGCGCAGCAGCGCACGCGCTTCAGTAGCGACCGTCGACGGCGCCAAGGCCCAGTGGCGTGCATTCGCTCGGGCCATGCCCGAATGGTGCGCTCAAGCAGGAGCGCGATGGAGGGAGGTCGATGGAGGGAGGTCGATGGGCAGAGCGGGCTTCACGGAGGTCGATGGTTGGATTGGAACGCGATGAAGGCAATGGGAGGAATGGACAAGGGGGCGGATGGATCGTGAAGGGTGGAAGCGTGGCGAAGGGCGCAGTGGATGGATGGCGGGGGGACGCGTCACATGTGCCAAGAGAAGCGAAAAAAATTAACTCTAACGATTCTGCTTTTCGCCCGACGAGCAGCGAGAAAACAGATCACGACACTTTACGACCCGTGTAACCCTCTGTGTTTGACCAATTTGGCTAGTCCCCGGATGTTCCGATTGCGGAGAGCTGGGAATGCGTTTGAACGCAAAAGGCGCAAAGCGGAAGGGGGGGTGAAAATGGGATGATCGGGAAATTATATGGCTGGTCACAATTATGGCCGGTTTATCATGGATGGTCACTTGGCTAATGCAAACGGTCACAGTATGTGGGTTATCTATCGCAGATGATCACACCACTATCACGGATAGTCACACCAAGTCCCGCAACACTATCACATTTACAGATGAAACGCCCATTTAAAAAAAGAAACCACTTGAGTCATTGTATGCAATTTGGGAAATTTCGCTCTCTCGCACATTTTGTCCATAGAATAATGTTCCAAAAATATCATTTTTAGATATAGATCTAAAACCTCTTCGGATGGGATATTTTCGGGACGTAACAGCCCTAAAAACCTTGTCGTATGGTTTTTAGGGTTCATGCTTCCCGAGAGGGCATACGTTGTTCCTAAATCACATTCCTTCCACAGACATCTCTTGCATGTGCTGTTCTGTGCTATTTGCATACTATAAGGAACATGTTGTTTTCTGCGAATCATGAGAAGGCAAGCAGCTGCATCCATGAGCAGACAGAACGCATCAGCCTAACCAAGTGAGAGAAACAGGAAGATTTGAAAGAGCTGGGCAGATTGACAAGCTCAACTTGCATAGTCTGGATAGAGATCCGATTGAATAAGGGAGTGAAGGCAGCTTGTGAGCATTGATGATTCCCAAGCATGTAAGCTGTCGGAGCATTGAGACACGCATCCTCCTCTGTACACAGTATCATAGAATGGGGAGGGTTACAGGCGTGTTCGCCTGGGGGGTTATGGGCGCACTGACCCGCTACTGAAACAAGCCCTTTTATCCCAATGGTCTAGTGGTTGGGATTCTGACACACATGACCAGTCAAGAAAAAGCAAAGCAAGCTCGGGGTGGATCACGAAGCTGTCAGAACATTATAGCTTATGCTTTTGTGTAGGCTATAGTGGGGTATCCCATAGGGGGTACAACCCAATTAGGGTTAGTACTTGTACCCACTTCATTCATAGTTCATTCATTTTCACGTTCACTTCTTCACATGGAATCAGAGCAGGTCCCCTCCTAGGGACTGTTCCCAGGGCCCACCGAAGCGCGCCCCGAGGCGCGCGTTCCTTTTTTTTTTTTCGCGACCCTCCGTGTCGCCCCTAGCGGCCCGTTACGCCGCCCTTACCTACGCGGCCCCGCCGCCCTTACCTCCGCGGCCCCGCCGCCCTTACCTACGCGGCCCCGCCGCCCTTCCGTCGCGGCCCCGCCGCCCTTACGTCGCGGCCCCGCCGCCCTCACGTCGCGGCCCCGCCGCCCTCACGTCGCAGCCCCGCCGCCCTCACCTCGCGGCCCCGCCGCCCTCACGTCGCGGCCCCGCCGCCCTCACGTTGCGGCCCCGCCGCCCTTACGTCGCGGCCCCGCAGCCCTCACGTCGCGGCCCCGCCGCCCTCACGTTGCGGCCTCGCCGCCCTTACGTCGCGGCCCCGCCGCCCTCACGTCGCGGCCCCGTCGCCGCACCTTCGCGGCCTCGCCGCCCTCACCTTCGCGGCTCCGCCGCCCTTACCTACGCGGCCCCGCCGCCCTTACGTCGCGGCCCCGCCGCCCTTACGTCGCGGCCCCGCCGCCCTCACGTCGCGGCCCCGCCGCCCTCACGTAGCGGCCCCACCGCCTCACCTTCGCGGCCCCGCCGCCCTCACGTAGCGGCCCCGCCGCCTCACCTTCACGGCCCCGCCGCCCTCACGTAGCGGCCCCGCCGCCTCACCTTCGCGGCCCCGCCGGTCTCCCCTCCTGCCGAGCCGCGCGAGCAGCCGCCCGCCATGCTGCCCGGTCCCGGAGCAGCCGAGCCGCCCAGCAGCAGCCGCCAAGCCGCAGTTCAGCCAAGCCGCCCAGCAGCAGCCGCCGAGCCGCTGGGCCGCCGACCCACAGTACAGCCGAGCCGCCCAGCAGCCGCCGCCGAGCAGCAGCGCAGCCGAGCCGCACTACTGCCGAGCCGCCCGACCTGCCCTGTCTGGTGAGCACAGCCCCACTACTACTGCGTGCCCTTCCCCCACTGCTTGCACTGCTAGTCTGTCGTCATGGCTACCCCTAGTGTCCTCGCTTTTGACGCTGAGGGTCGAGCCATTGACTTTGAGGTCAGGGTCGACGACCTGCAGTTGTTTTTACAGTGCGATAGGGCGGACGGTCTTTCTCTCTTTGACCTCACCTCTGGCGCCTCCCCTGCTCCTGCTGCTGATGCTGACCCCACTGTTCGCTCTCAGTGGGCCACCCGCGATGATGCTGCACGTCTTGCTGTGCGTCGCCACCTGCCTACCACTGAGCGCGCGCACTTTAGTCAGTACAAGAGTGCTCAGACCTTGTACGACGCTGTAGTTGCGCGCTACTCTTCCCCTGCCACCGCTGCACTGAGCCGCCTCATGCTACCGTACCTCTTTCCTGACCTTGCTGCCTTTCCTACAGTCGCTGACCTCATCACGCACCTCCGCACTTCTGCCACTCGCTACCGCGCTGCACTTCCTGCTGAGTTCTGCGCCAAGAACCCCCCCCCCATGTACATCGCTCTCTATTACATAGTCACTCGCCTCCCTGACTCCCTTCGCGTAGTCAGGGACCACTTCCTCTCAGTCTGTCCCACCACCCTCACTGTCGACCTCCTCGAGAAGGCCCTCCTAGCGGCGGAGAAGAGCATTGTCGCTGTAGGAGCCTCTCGTGGTGACCCGCGCACCCCCATCTTTAAGGGGTGTTCTCCTTCCCCCCTGCTGCCCTCTATTGCCTCTACTGCTGCTGCCGACCTACTTGGTCTTAAGTCGGTCGGCGCGGCGTCTGCCCCTAGCGGGAGACGCCGCCCTAGCAAGGGCAAGGGGGGCAAGGGCGCGGGTGGAGCTGGCGGGGGCGGTGGAGGTGGCGGTGGCGGTGGCGGAAGGAGTGGGGGTGGCGGTGGGAGTGGTGGTGGGGGTGGTGGTGGTGGTGGCGGCAGCGGAGGCGGCGGCGGTGGCGGCGGCGGCGGTGGTAGCGGAGGCGGCGGTGGTGGCGGAGGTGGAGGCGGCGGTGGCGGAGGAGGTGGAGCCGGTCGGGGTAGTGCCCCGCAGCGGAGCGGCTCTGGTGGTGGTCAGCGCCATGCAGCAGCAGCAGCAGCAGCAGCAGCAGCGTTCTCGGGACATCCCCCTGCCTCAGCAGCTCCGTGAGTGGTACACGCAGCGTCAGCGTGGTGGGGGTCTTGGCCCGTGCACCTACGTTCTTCGTTCCGGCGATTCGCGCGGGTGAGCTAGTGTGGGGGTGCCCACTCCACCCAGCGCTGCTTTGGCCGCCTGACGGACGCTTGGCGTCAGCAGTTCCCCGAGGCTAGTGAGATTCCCCGCTGGGGAGAGCTGTCTAGGGCTGGCGTAGCGATCTTTGATCTTGACTTTGATGCTATCCTTGCTGCCATGTATGCTGTGACTATTAGTGATGAGGGTGACTGTTACCGGTGTTTCCCGCCCGACCCGAGCATTGGTACTGCTGCTCTAGGTGCTTGTGAGGCTTCTGCTCTTGGTGCCAGTGCGTCTGCACTCTCAGGTACTGGTGAGGCTGCGCTCTCAGGTACTGCGTCGGCTTCGGCCTCTCTCACCTTCACACTTGACTCAGGGGCTTCTCGCTCCTTCTTTTGAGACCGCACCACACTCACGCCGCTTGGTCGGCCGGTTGCAGTCTCCCTGGCTGACCCCTCTGGGGGTCCTGTCCTCGCTCACTTCTCCACTGTCCTCCCGTGTCCGGCTGCCCCCTCGGGCACCCTGTCGGGTCTGTACCTCCCCTCGTTCTCGACGAACTTGGTGAGTGGTGCTGACCTGCAGGATGCAGGGTTCACCAGTTTACTCCTGCGAGTCAGCGGGGGACCCACTGCTCAGACGCCCGCACAGGCCGACACCTAGCCACGTTTTCGTGTCGGCCCGGGTCGAGTCTCTACACCCTGACCGTTGAGTCTCCTCCAGTCCCTGCGTCTGGTCAGGTAGCTGCGTCGGGTCAGGTGTTTGCTGCTGCATCCAGGTCTGGTCCTGAGTCTGCCCCCTGCTCGTGTCGCCTCCTGTCTCACGAGACTCTCTTGTGGCACCACCGTCTTGGCCACCCCTCCTTGCCTCGTCTTCGGGGCATGGCTTCCCGTGTCCTTGTCTCTGGTCTCCCCCGGTCTCTCCCTCCCCTTCCTTCGGGGCCAGGACCTTCCTGTGTCCCCTGTGTCGAGGGGCGGCTCCGAGCTGCCCCTCACTCCTCCCAGTTTCCCCCGACAGAGGCTCCTCTGCAGACTGCTTCACATGGACGTGTGGGGCCCAGCCCGCGTCCGTGGACAGGGTCACGAGCGCTACTTCCTGCTGGTGGTTGACGACTACTCGCGTTACACCACAGTCTTCCCCTTGCGCAGCAAGGGTGATGTCACTGAGGTGTTGATCGACTGGATCCGCGCGGCTCGTCTCCAGCTCAGGAGGAGCTTCGGCTCGGACTTTCCTGTTCTGCGTCTGCACTCTGACCGAGGCGGAGAGTTCTCCTCTGGCCTTCTGCGAGCCTACTGTCTTGCACGAGGCATCCGCCAGACCTTCACGCTTCCGGACTCTCCACAGCAAAATGGGATTGCTGAGCGCCGCATTGGCATGGTCATGGACGTCGCTCGTACGTCCATGATGCATGCGGCTGCCCCCCATTTTCTGTGGCCGTTTGCGGTTCGGTACGCGGCGCATCAGCTCAACCTTCACCCCAGAGTCTCCCGGCCGGAGACCTCCCCAGCTCTGTTGTGGACGGGGAAGGTAGGCGATGCGTCTGCGTTCCGTGTCTGGGGATCTCGGGCGTTTGTCCGCGACCTGTCTGCGGACAAGCTGTCCCCTCGTGCTGCTCCCTGTGTCTTCCTAGGCTTCCCCCTTGACGCCCCAGGGTGGCAGTTCTACCACCCCTCCTCTCGTCGTGTTCTGTCCTCCCAGGACGTCACGTTCGACGAGTCCGTCCCCTTCTACCGCCTCTTCCCCTACCGCACTCCTTCCCTCCCACCGCCACCGCACTTCCTTGTGCCAGGTCCCCCCCCGGTTGACCCCCTTCCCCCTCAGGGTCCTGCCCCTTCAGGTGTGTCCCAGGTAGATGCAGTCGAGCCGGTCGAGGTTGCTGGTGACTCAGGTACTGCTTGGGGTGCTGAGCCTGGGGGTGCTGAGCCTGGGGGTGCTAACTCTGGGGGTGCTGAGCCTGGGGGTGCTGACTCTGGGGGTGCTGAGTCTGGGGGTGCTGAGCCTGGGGGTGCTGAGCCTGGGGGTGCTGCCTCTGGGGGTGCTGAGCCATGGGGGTGCTGACTCTGAGGGTGCTGCGCGGGTGGGTGCTGAGCCTGGGGTCCTGAGCCTGGGGGTGCTGCGTCTGGAGCTGCTGAGCCTGGACGTGTGGAGCCTGCGGCCACTGGACCTCCCCTTGTGGCGTCTGGCGGTACTGGGCCTGGAGGTTCTCCGGGTGTTTCGTCTCGGCGGGAGCCACTCTCTCCACAGGAGCTGCGCGAGTGGTTTGCTCGCCGCTGGAGGCGTACTGCTGGAGCTTGCGCTTCTTCGGCCGCTGAGGGTGCTGGTGCCGCCGGTCCTGGAGCTGCTGGGCCTGCGGGTCCGCCTGGAGCTGGAGCTGCTGAGGGTGTTGGTTCTGAGACTCCTACTGTCCGTCCTGGTGGTGGTCGTGCTGCAGGTGCTACTGGCGCTGGTGGAGGTCCTGCCGCTGGAGGTGCTGTTGGCGCTGGTGCTGCCAGAGGTGCTGAGGGTGCTGGTGCTGTCCTTGCTGTGCCTGGTGCCACCGCGCGGCCTCGGCCGTACTTCGTTCCGCTCCTTCAGCAGGTTCTTGGTCTTCCTCCTCTCTTAGAGGGTCCGCCGCTTGTCCAGTCGCAGTCACAGTTACCGCCGGCCTCCCCACTGCCTTCTCCCTCTCCCTACACTGGTCCTACTTGAGGTCTTGCTGAGCGTCGTGAGCCTGCGTCTCGTCCTGCGTCGCCTGTTCGTCCTGCTCGCACTAGTGGTCGTAGTTCGCGTCAGCGTCCTCCTCCTGTCCCTGGCACGCACCGGATGTCTCTTGCGTCCGTCCACTGCTCCTCCTGCGTGCCCCTTTGCCCTCTCCTCCTGAGTCCTCTCTTCCTGCGCTTGCCGACCCTTGAGTCGGACTCTCTTCGTGCTGCCAGTCCTACTAGTCACGCGTCTCCTTGCTACTGTCGTCACTGACCCCTCCTTTGAGTCCACTGCTGCGTCTGCTCTTGTTGCTGAGCTCGTCGACTTTGCTGCTCGCTGTCGTCTAGACTACGCTGCTAGTCTTGTTGCTGAGTCTGCGTCTGTCTGTCCTCCTGTCCGTCGGGGGTGAGTGTGCTCTTGGCACGGACGTCCTTGAGGACAGGCAGGAGGAGTTTCAGTGTCTGGCTGCTGCTTCACCTCATCTCGCGTCTGTACTGCTTGCCCCTGAGGGAGACCCGGATGCACTAGACATCCCGACTCCGCGCTCTTACGCGGAGGCCGTAGAGGGTCCCTACTCCTCTCAGTGGCAGGCAGCTATGGATGCAGAGATGGCTTCCTCGAAGTCCACAGGCACCTACGTTGACGCGGTTCCCCCTCCTGGGGCGAACATCGTCAGTGGGATGTGGATCTTCATGGTGAAGCGGCCGCCCGGGCTCTCCACCTGTCTTCAAGGCGCGGTACGTGGCTCGTGGCTTCTAGTCAGCGGCAGGGAGTTGACTACTTTCAGACCTTCTCTCCCACCCCGAAGATGACCACTCTTCGGGTGCTGCTGCACATAGCTGCTCAACGCGACTACGAGCTCCACTCTCTTGACTTCAGCACTGCTTTCTTGCAGGGTAGCCTGCACGAGGAGATCTGACTGCGCCATCCACCTGGCTTCACTGGGACTTTCCCTCCCGGCACCCAGTGGAGCCTCCGACGGCCAGTCTACGGTCTCCGCCAGGCACCACGTGAGTGGCACGACACACTGAGGACTACGCTTGCGGCTCTTGGGTTTGCTCCCTCTACTGCTGACCCGTCGTTGATTTCTGCGCACCGACACTTCTCTGCAGCCGTTCTACATCCTCGTGTACATCGACGACTTGGTCTTTGCCACAGCGGATACTGCTGGACTCGCCTACGTGAAGTCCGAGCTGCAGAAGAGACACACGTGCACAGACCTGGGTGAACTGCGCAGCTACCTTGGCTTGCAGATCACTCGGGACAGAGCACGCCGCACCATTACCTTGACTCAGTCACACATGGTGCAGCAGGTCCTTCAGCGCTTCAGCTTCACGTACTCCTCGCCTCAGGCCACTCCTCTGTCTACTCGCCACTCGCTCTCAGCTCTGCCTTCGGATGAGTCCGTAGAGTCGAGTGGCCCGTACCCAGAGCTTGTTGGCTGCCTCATGTACCTGATGACCTGCACATCGACCTGACCTTGCATACCCTCTTAGCATTCTCGCACGCTATGTTGCTCCTGGGAGACACCGACCAGAGCACATGGCTGCAGCGAAGAGGGTGTTGCGCTACTTGTGCAGTACGTCGGGCATGTGGCTAGTGCTTTGAGGGCGGAGTCAAGTGGTCCTCACTGGGCACGCGGACGCTTCTTGGGCTGACGACCAGGCTACGCAGCGGTCGTCGCAGGGTTACACCTTCAGTCTTGGTTCCGGCTCCTGTTTCGTGGCGGGCTACTCGCTCGTCTTCTGTTCTCGGCTCCAGTTGTGAGGCTGAGATCTACGCCGGGGCCATGGCTGCTCAGGAGCTTCGCTGGCTCACCTACCTGCTGACTGACCTTGGAGAGCCGCCTCGTTCTCCTCCAGTGCTGTACGTAGACAACAAGGCCATGCTGGCCTTGTGTCGAGAGCAGCGCCTGGAGCACAGAACGAAGCACATTGCTCTCCGCTACTTTCTTGCTCGTGAGCTGCAGCAGCGTGGTCCAGTTGCGACTTGCGTACGTGGCCTCTGAGGCCAACACTGCCTGATGTTTTCACCAAGGCACTTCCACCTTGTGATCATCAGCGTTTCTGCACTCAGCTGGGACTTGTCCCAGTCTTGCCTCACTTGCTCACCTCTTGATCTTACTTGTACTCTTGCATATATATATACCTGCTCTTGCTTGTTTAGACTTATATATATATGTCTCATCCTGCATGTGAACTGGCCTTGTGGCCTTGACCTTGTGCTCAGACTGTGTGGTGACGTTGTGATCCACCCTGAGCTTGCTTTGCTTTGCTTTGCTTGACTGGTCTTGTGACCCCTTGTTCTCCCCCACTTTGCCTATGGGGGTGTGTCAGAACATTATAGCTTATGCTTTTGTGTAGGCTATAGTGGGGTATCCCATAGGGGGTACAACCCAATTAGGTTAGTACTTGTACCCACTTCATTCATAGTTCATTCATTTTCACGTTCACTTCTTCACAGAAGTCACCACAAACTCTGAGCACAAACAAATCGCCACAAGGCCAGTTGATATGAAAAGTTATATAATAAAAACAAGCAGTATAGTGATCAAAACATAGCAAGTGTAACCATGAAGGTATAAGTGTATAGATCACAGTACAAGTAAAGTCAATAAGTGAGCAAGTGAGGCCCAGTAGGCACAATGCCTAAAACAGTACACAAACGCTGATGATTACAAGGCTGAAGTGCCTTGGTAAAGATATCAGCACTGTTTGCCCGAGAGGCCACGTAAGCAAGACGAAGCTGACCATACTGCTGCAACTCTCGAGCAAGGAAGTAACGCAGAGCAATGTGCTTCGTTCTGTGCTCCAGTCTGTGCTCCTGACACAAGGCAATCATGGCCTTGTTGTCGACGTACAGAACTGGAGGAGAACGAGGCGGCTCTCCCAAGTCGGTAAGCAGGTGGTGAGCCAGCGGAACTCCTGTGCAGCCATGGCCCCTGCGTAGATCTCAGCCTCACAACTGGAACTGAGAACAGAAGACGAGTGGGTAGACCGCCAAGAAACAGAGCCGGAGCCAAGGCTGAAAGTGTAACCCTGTGACGACCGCTACGTAGCCAAGTCATCAACCCAAGAAGCGTTCGCGTGTCCAGTGAGGACAATAGGACCCCGTCCTCCAAGCACGAGCCCCATGCCCGACGTACGGCACAAGTAGCGCAACACCCGCTTAGCGGCCTTCCAGTGCTCTGGTCGGTGTCTCCCGGGCGCAACGTAGCGTGCCAGGATGTTAAGAGGATAGGCAAGGTTAGGTCGAGTGCAGGTCATCAGGTACATGAGGCAGCCCACAAGCTCTGGATACGGGCCACTCGGCTCTACAAACTTGTCCGAAGGTGGAGCTGAGAGCGAGTGACCGGTAGGCAGAGAAGTGGACTATGGCGAGTAGGTCTTTCAAGCTTCTGGTATTACCATCTATAATTACCTATTCTAATACCATCTTACAACTAGCTAGGAAGTGTCGAGAGAATTGTGCTAAGGGGAAACAAGGAGATACAAGCGTCGACCTAGAAAGTGTTGTACCCTTTAGAGGGCAACTTACTGTAGCCTAAAATAATTAATATCTAGAAGATATAAGCATTTGACAGTAACACCCCCCTTCATTCCTGGTCATAACAAGTCTTAACCCGCTTGACTACTTCGCTCAGTACGGAATAGTGCTGATACTGTTGACGGGGCAGTCGCTTCGTAAGAAAGTCGACCCTGTACTTGTCAACTTTGTCCTTGACGAAGAAGTACCGCAGCGTGATGTGTTTGGTGCGGTTGACGATCCCAGCTTATTCGCAATTCTCATCTCGCTACGGTTTGTTCGCAATTCTCATCTCGCTACGGTTTGTTCGCAATTCTCATCTCGCTACGGTTTGTTCGCAATTCTGATCGATGGTGTTGTTCAGGTCCAAGATAGCCACATCACCTTCGTATTTGGGGGTAGCATAGCTCCGCCCGTCGTTTGCATAAACCTAGTTTGCGTCCGCCTGCTCGTACGCGCAGTACTGAGCGGTCGCTCGTAGAAGATGGCGTCGCGCCTATGTATTACTTTGTTGCAGAGGAGGATCAAGGATGATCAAACTTTACGTGCAGCCATATGTTGTCGATGACGGTTGTGGTGGAGAGTAAGTTGTGCACCCGCATGGCGTGCTGCATCGCGGACCGCTAGTAGGTGAAAGGGAGCCTTGACTGGTTCAATAATGCGCGCACCTTCGTCATGAACGTGCGGTCGATGCGCTCGGTGACGCGTTGCTACGGATGCGCATAGGGGAGTGAAATGTGATGTGATGTCCTCCTCTGCCCCAGGTAGTCCTGGATTTCCATACATGTTGCACTGCCATTTTGCTAGATCTGTAGCTTCTTCTCTAATTGACATTGCGCGCGAGCAAGCCAGAAGCGGAAAACTTCGTACGCCCTGCTGCAGAATTGCACGTTTGCGATCCACGTGTAATGGGTTCCTGCATTGACGAAGGTGAGCGTGTACCCTTCGTCATTGAGTCCGGAGTGGCCGACTACGAGGAAGTCGTTGTAAACTTTGTGCAGCTTGGGGTACCGGTTAGTTCCCGGTTCCAGTAGTGGGAATGGCTGATGGCTTGGCGCGGCTTCGAGGCAGATTGTGCAAGTGCATGGCTATGATGTGGTCCTAATCTCGGAGCCGTCAGGGCGCAGGAGTGCGCTAGGCGCGAAAACTTCTGCAGTGATACAGCTGTCAATTGTCATGCGCGACGGGTTGCTGAGGCCACAGGTTGTCAGATGCGCAGAGTCCGGAAGTGCGCATATTGCATGCGCGCACCACTTCAGGGTCTTCTTCATGTATGGTGGTAGGCGCTTCTAGCGCTTCTTCTTCTTCCACTTCGTCATTCCCCCTCATCACCATTAGCGCAAGGATCTCCTTATCGGGGATGACCGAGAGAGAAATGTTGGTCCCAGGAATTTTTCCGAGGACGAGCGTGTTCGCGCGGCTCGGGGTCAGGTCCGTAGACGGTGCGGCACGGGTTGATGGCTCATTGCCCCAGTCGATCATGCCCAAGGGGTCGCGATGCAGCGGTTTGTCCGCAGGAAGTGGCGGTGGTGTAGGGATGCCTGGGGGCGATTCAAAGGAACAATTGGCGGTTCAGTTTCCCCTTTTTGTTCTTCTCGCGATGCTCCCCCAACCTTCGCCGGAGCTTCCCCATCCGCCACTGGTTCCGCCGGTAGTGGTGCCCCAGCCTCTGCCAGCATTAGCCCAGGTGCCTTCTGTGTTGCCCCAGGTGTCGCTGCTACTGGTGCCACAGCTATCATTGCTGCCCTACTCTCCTTCATTGGAGGCGCCTTCCTCAGTCATTTCGCCCCACGAGCCACAAATGAAAGTTCAGCGTGCTTTGGCGATGCTTTTGTGATGAAACTCCTCAGCTTCACGGCGCGCCTAGTTCAGCTTCTTCCACAACGAAGAGCTTCTTCGTTGGTTCGCCCTAGTTCCTTGCCCTGCTTTTTATTCAGGGGGGTTTGATTGGAGTAAAGGAGGAATTAAGAACGGTCAAAGGGGCGTTGACTGAAGTGGAGGGAAAGTTTACTGGACTCCAAGGGGAGCTGGCTGGGGTAAAGGGAGGAATGAATGAAGTGAAAGAGGATGTGAGTGGAGTCAAAGGGCAATTGTGTGGATTGAAGGATGCGTTGGTGGAGCTGAAGAGCCAAATAATTGCGTGAAGTTATCTGTTCAGAAGGAGGTGAACGAGCTCGAAGGAGTGGTGTCTGCAGTGCTGGAGAGTGGTATGACAGAGGGATTTGGAAGAAAGAGGGGCGTACAGAGGGAGGCAGAAGGAAGAGAAATTAGCAGCATTGACAACAAAGGTTGCTAGACTGAGTAACCGTGTTTGGAAGGTGGTCGCAGCCCTTGTGCGGTGGCAAGGGGAAAGCCAATACACGTGGGCGGTGCGTGTATATGCCCCATTGCCCCTGCCAACTATCGCTTTGGCTGCTCCTTGCATGTACCTGCTGCTTCGTAGCAGAGGGAGCATACGTGCGTGCTTGCATTATGCCCAAACTTTTTATGCTTTCCAAGTGTTAGGCTTTTTGTTTGGCTCTTCGTAAGCCTTTTGCCTCGCCACATCCCCACCAGCAATAGATAGGTAGGGTACACCATGGAGCAGTATTTGAAAGTTCTTGAGGTTATTTTGAATTTTCTGCGCTTCTTTTTCTCCAGGATATCCTGTCGCATGGTGCGGATCCAGAGCAGGAAGAACGCGTTGGAGTTGATGAATCCCAAGCACCCTGTCGAGCGTTGCTCTGCACCACATGTCCAGAATGCACGACCTGAAGGAGCTCTACCTGTATGGGTCCCCGGGCTTCGATGCAGCAGGATTGAAACACGGGTTCAGGCTGGCGGGGCTGGTGAAGCTGGACCTGAGCTAGTGTGCCGCACTGGATGGCTTTGGATGGCATTTCTGCACTGAAGAAACTCAAGGATCTCTTCTTGAGTAGCATAGGGGTGACTGGCGCTGCCCTGCAGCACCTAA